AAATCTCTCAGTTCTTATATCTTCCTCCTTACATTTCCTTCTCTGCCCAGCCCGTCTCCACCTCCCTAGTGCTGGCATTAAAGGTGTGTGATCCCATGTGCTGGGATCAACGTGTGAGCTCTGTTACTCTTCACTCTTGTGTAGGCTAGGGTGGCCTTGAACTCAGAGAACTCCATCTGCCTGTGTCATGAGTCCAGGAATTAAAGCCTAGCTCTATGGCTGCTTTCGATTAAAGGTGTGTAACATCACTTTCTGACCTCTACAGCTTGTGGCTGGCTTTGCTTTCTGATACTTCTGGAAGTCTTTATTAAATCATACATAATGTATCACCACAGGAGGGGAAAAAGGAATTTGTTATACTTACTGGTATTTCAAAACTCCCTTTCTTGACCCCAAGATGTTCAGAATCAAGTAATGTGTTTGATGCCATTGGCAGAAGAAAGAGATAGGAATTCCTGATGTATGACGGGGAGAAATTGTTTTCATTACAGTAGTTGCTCATGCCCTGATAAGTTACCCCAGGTCATGCTAGCAGTAAGCATCCCCAATCAAACTCAGGGTGTCATAAAAAATAGATAGATAGATAGATAGATAGATAGATAGATAGATAGAAGACTTCAAAGTAGGAATGATTGGAAAGAAAATGTTCAGTGGAAATGGGAGAGTCAGGAAGAGGTAACTGGGATGAATATGACTAAAATATGTCATCTGCATTATGGAACTGTCAGACATTAATTAAAAGGAATTCCAGATGACTCTTTGTAGCTAATGGAAATGTAAAAAGAAACGCCATTTGAAAGCAAAGCTTTGTCCTTTGTGCTATCTAGTAAATATTACAGGATATCTGAAATTTTTATTGTGTATTCAGATATATTGTCAATGTATCTTCAAGTGAATGTATGGGTATTCAGACACTAACTGAGTAAAATAATAAAATAACATAAATATACAAGTAGAATTCTAAGTTGGGTGGTGGTGGCGGCACACATATTTACGTAATCCCAGCACTTGGTAGGCAGAGGCAGAAGGATTTCTGAGTTTGAGGCCAGCCTGGTCTATAGGGAAAGTTCTGAGAAAACCAGCGAGGGCTACACAGAGAAACCCTGTCCCAAAAAAAAGGGGGTGGGGGACACTGATAGTTTGATAATACATCATGTCCATTCCTCCTCTAAAAGTGGTAACTCTTACCAAGTATGAAGTAATTCACCTGGTAACTTTCCTTCCAGATCAGCCTCATACTCTCTGTGTAGCAGAAGCATCTTGTGTGTAGATTGAGTTTTGTCATATAGAATACTAAAAGAGTGTACCCTCAAAGGGCAGACAACATAAAGTTAGCGACTTTTAGTGCTTCATTAATTAGCGGCACCTGGAATGATGCAACCTTTACTCCCCCAAGGTATGGGCTGGAGAAGAGCACAGATCACAGTCGCCCGCCGGGGTGATGCTCCCAGTTTAATCCCTCACATTGTGTCCCGCAGTGCTGATGTGAATCAGTGAAGATGCCCACTGCTGACCGATACCGTCGCTCCCGTCACAATCCTGTGCTGGGTAGATACGGGGCCAAGGGGACTCAGTCTAATCCCAGGGCCTTACGGTCCTCGGGCTTTTAGACGTGACCGAATAAGGCCTGGGACGGCACTGTATAGTAAGTAACAAGGACGGGACCAGAGACTAGGAGTGCCCGGGCAAAGAAGAATGCTTCTGGGACTCTTGGGATCCAGCGGAGATTTTGTACGGAAGTGTTCTGCATAGAGTAGGATCATTATCACCCCTGTACTCCACCCTTCCAATGCTAACACGTCCCTGCCATTGTGACAACTGAAAGTGCCTCGCATATTTCTCAATGTCCACCAGAGGGCATCTGCTACCATCCGTGATGACCTGATTTCAATACCCGGGACCAACACGTTGAAAGGAGAGAGCCAATTCCTGTACCTACTTCCATATTCGTGCACTGGCACACTCCACCCAACAATAAATAAAAGAATGAATAAATGTTAACTCAAAAGTGAAACTGAATGCTTTTTGTAATAAGGACCACATTGGCTTTTGCTTTGGAGAGAGAAAACAGAGAGGTTCTTGTTTTGTTTTGTCCAGAACAATTACAACACAAACCTAAGGCATGCAGTTAGAGAGTTTGTGGTTATCAACCAAAAGGAAATAAAGGTTCAACCTGTTGCAATGAGGAAGAAATCCAAGGTCATGTGGTTAGAACTTAGGGGTCCAGGAAGGGTAGTGCCCTGCCTACTCTCCTGAGTCAACTGAGGAGACAGTTCCACTGGGGACAGGGAAGACGCTACCAAAAACCAAGACAGTCTCCCACCCTGCAGGACATTCCATCCCAAAGCTCCCTGTGTCTGACGAAGTGACAGCAAAGAAATGGAAGACAGATGGCATATGGGTGGGGCTATGACCAGGAAGAGACCAGTAGACTAGACACAGAGATGGGCATCAGGAAAGGGACTGACCTCTGAAGACTTACGGGAACTGCCCTTCAGCCCGTTACTTCCTACAGAGACAGCAAGCTAGCAGCCACCCCACCTCAGGTGAGTCCACTGCATTTTTTTGGAGGTGCCTAGCTGCTAACTGTAGGCAGTTCAGCATGTGTAGAGTTAACTATTTGTGTACTTTGATTGTCAGTGTGCTGAAATACAAATGTCCATTGATTTTTTGTTGTTTTTGTTTTTTATTTGTGTTGAGACAGGGTCTTTCTAAAGCCCTGGCTGTCCTGGAACTTTTTTTTTTAATTTATTTTATGTGCATTGGTGTTTTGCCTGCACATGTCTGTGTAAGGATGTTAGATCCACTGAAACTGGAGTTACAGGTGGTGTTAAGCTGCCGTAAGGGTGGTGGGAATTAAACCCAGGTCCTCTGGAAGAGCAACCAGTGCTTTTAACCGCTGAACCATCTTTCCAGTCGCCATCCCGGAACTTCTTATGTAGACCACGCTGGCCTTGAACTCAGAGATCTGCCTGCCTCTGCCTCCATCGTGCTGGGATTAAAGTGAGCAACGCTGTGCCCAGTATCAAGTCCATTTCAATGCTGTGCAAGTGAAAATACTCTGATGTAATAAGACTGGCTGAAGACTACCCTTAGCAAACAGCAAAATACTTCAGTATACTATCTGTCCATGTATCTTTTTTTTTTTTAAGATTTACTTTTTTTTTTTGGTTTTTACGAGACAGGGTTTCTCTGTATTGTTTCGGAGGCTATCGGTCCAGCCAGGCCTCGAACTCACAGAGATCTACCTGCCTCTGCCTCCCGAGTGCTGGGATTAAAGGTGTGCGCCACCACCGCCCGGCTAAGATTTACTTATTACATATACAGTGTTCTGTCTACATGCCAGAAGAGGGCACCAGATTGAATTGCAGATGGTTGTGAGCTACCATGTGGTTGCTGGGAATTGAACTCAGTACCTCTGGTAGAGCAGTCAGTGCTCTTAACCTCTGAGCCATCTCTCCAGCCCCTGTCCATGTATCTTTTGACAAATATTTTACTTTTATTTAACTATATCATTTAAGTGTGTGTATGTTTGGAAAGAGGCTTTACCTTAGTTTTGACTGAATATTTACTAACAAATGATTTTATTTTTATTCACACCCCTCCCTCCCCACTGAGACAGACTTCCCCTATGTAGTCCTGGCTGACCTGGAACTCACTCTGTAGACCAGGCTGCCTTCCAACTCAGAGATCCTCCTGCCTCTGTCTCCCAAGTGCTGGGATTAAATGCATGTGCCACTACTGCTTAGCTATTCATGGGTTTTGTTTGTTTGTCTGTTTGTTTTTGTTTTTCCAGAGACAGGGTTTCTCTGTGTAGCTTTGTAGACCAGGCTGGCCTGGAACTCACAGATACCCGCCTGCCTCTGTCTCCTGAGTGTTGGGATTAAACCACTGCCCAGTTACTATTCATACTCTTAACAGAGGGTTTTTTGTTTGTTTGTTTGAACTTAGACATCATTTATTTGATAAACACACACATGTCTTTGGAGGACTAACTCAATTCAGGTGAGAATCTCTTTGAAGACAGACTGGTGAGGTGGGGGGAGGGTGTGGTTATGGAGTCCAGGTGGCCTTAATCTCTAGAATCCTTGACATTGGCTTTTAGTTGGTAATCTCTACTTTCTTCTTTTCCCAGAAAGCAGTAGAGTTGCAGCCCCCATCCCCATCTTATTCTCAAAGAACACCAAAACAATCTGAAAAGGACCAAAGCAAAAGAGTCAGGAACACACACACACACACACACACACACACACACACACACACACACACACACACACCTCACTCAGGAAGGCCTTAAGCTGCCACAAACACATGAGCAGCTTGTCCTACGAGTTCTAAAGAATGTAGTAAATTCTGTTTAACGTTACAAACAGGCAAAATGTCTGTGTTCTAACATACTTCTAGTTTTGCAACCAAGGTCCTGTAGCCCTCATGCTCCCCTTAGCAAGTGTGTGGTGTTTAACTCCCTTGCCTTATGTCAGGGCAAAGTGGTATTGTTCTCACGTGTGCCGAGGCTGACCAGCTGTCCTGTGCACTTCAGCAGTTCACTTTTTTTTTTTTTTTTTTTTTTTTTTGGTTTTTCGAGACAGGGTTTCTCTGTGCCTTTGGAGGCTGTCCTGGAACTAGCTCTTGTAGACCAGGCTGGTCTCGAACTCACAAAGATCCGCCGGTCTCTGCCTCCTGAGTGCTGGGATTAAAGGCATGCACCACCAACGCCCGGCAGCAGTTCACTTTTGACACGACTCATGAAAAACAAGACAAGACCCACAAGTTTCTTTTCTGGGGGATATCCAACAGATTTGCGGTTTAGTCCACTTTTTGGTATTATGTTGCTTAAGTTTTCAGAAAACACGAACAGATGGCACAGAAAATGCCGGAGGTGGTGGCGGCGGTGGTGGCGCACGCCTTTTATCTCAGCACTTGGGAGGCAGAGGCAGGAGGATATCTGAGTTGGAAGCTGGCCTGGCCTACAGAGTGAGTCCCGGGATAGCTAGGGCTACTGAGAGAAACCCTGTCTTGGAAAAAGCTGAGAGAGGAAGAAGAGAGAGAGGAGGGGGAGGGGAGAGAAGCTGAGAGAAGCCTCCCTTGACTTTGAGGTCTGTGGGGTGGGGTGGGAGGTCTCCCTGTGTTTCTCAGGCTGTCCTTAAACTCCTAGGGCCAAGCCATTCTCTTGTCCAGCCTCCGAAGGAGCATGTGCCCCATTCTGGCTCAGACTTCTGAATCACACCAGTGTGCTCTTTGTGCAAGGCTCAGATAGAAAAGCAAAAAAAAAAAAAAAGGGCTGTGGGCTTAAATTTTATTTTCACCATTTGATTGCTTTACTTGGTAGCTAATGAGAAATGCATAAATTATAAAATTCCAAGAACTAACTTTCAAATTCAGCACTCAAAGTCCAAGAAAAAAAATGTAAGCTAAAAACCAACTAGGCACTAAGCATGACAAGTTATTTATATCTTGCTCCTGTAATGCTCTTGCAAGTAAGTTAGAACTGCTAAGAACCTCCTGGGAAACTGTGTCAATCACTCCAAAAACAAGCTCTGCTCAGCATCCAAACCTGGCAAACACCTAGGGCAGAAACTCCTAAAAACAGTAGAATTGTTTTCCTATTTGCTAAGTATGCTAACTAAGAATGATTTTCATTCACAACAAATCCAATAAGATACAATTTTAATCATGAAATACTCTGTAAGCCATTTGTACCCTGTAAAAGAGGTGGTTGCTTGAGCTGCTATTTATAACGTTGCAACAAGTGGTGATCGGAATTTTTACCTATGCTCTGAACAAATTTGCTAGTGGTAGCCTGGCTCTCCTATCAGCCTTGACTTATAGTACTTGTGTGTGATTCCTATGTGGCAACTGCTATTAGTATTTCTAGGGATTTCCTCTATCCATATATATTTTAAATTTGCAAAGTCAACCTCATAGTGTTTTAGCTATTTCATAAGGTTTTTTTCATTGACAGTGTGTGATTAGCCAGGTGATGCTGTGTACACCCTTAATCCTAGCACCTGGGAGGCAGAAGCAGGTGGATCTCTATGAGTTCAAAGCCAGTATTGTCTACGGAGTTCCAGGACAACCAAGGCTACAAAGAGAATCCCTGTTTCAAAAACCCAAAACAAAACAAAACAAAAAACTGTGACTGATTTTTTAAAACCCGTATTTAACTTTGTAAAGTTATATACAGTTGAGCCGTAGCATAATTTCCTATTTTCATATTGCTACACACTTTGACTGTTTCCATTTTTTTGTTTTGATTTTTTTTGTTTTGTTTTTTTTTTGTTTTTTGTTTTTTACGAGACAGGGTTTCTCTGTATTGTTTTGGAGGCTGTTGGTCCAGCCCAGCCTCAAACTCACAGAGATCCGCCTGCCTCTGCCTCCCGAGTGCTGGGATTAAAGGCGTGCACCACCAACGGCCGGCCCCATTTTACTTTATTTTTAATTACATCTATGTGTCTCTATGTAGGAATGTGCTTATGAGTACAGTGCCCAAGGAGGCCAGAAGCGGGCATGGGATCCCCCCATCCCTCCTACCCCGGAGCTGGAGTTACAGGTGGTTGTGAGTCACATTTTATGGGTGCTAAGAACCCAACTTGGATTCTTGGCAAGAACAGAATGCACTCTAATGCTCTTAACTATAGAGCCACCTCTATAGGCCCTTGTTTTGGCCTTAAATTTTTTTGTGTTTGAGCCGGGCTGTGGTGGTGCACACGTTTAGTCCCAGCACTCCGGAGACAGAGACAGGCGGGTCTCTGTGAGTTCGAAGCCAGCCTGGACTAGTGCTGGTTCCAGGACAGGCTGCGAAGCTACAGAGAGAAAATCCTATCTCAAAAAATCACAAATAAATAATAATAAAAATAAAGAACAATTTTAGTCATCTAAGATAGAGGTAAACCGTGGCTTGAGGCAGGCGATTGTCATGGAAGGAGTGGAGGCAGGGCATAAGAGTGGGGTGAGGGTCAGACTCCTGCTGCATCTTTGCGGGAAGACGGTTGACTACGGAGCATGAGAGAAAGAGAAGCCTGCAGATTGTTCCAAGCTTTTGAGACCTTAGCAGTTGGTCAGATAACGTTGACGTTAAGTAACAGGAAAAGGGCTGGATGTGGGAGAGGCTTTCTAGCAGGGTCGGGGACTGGGTCTATAGACGGTAATACACACTGGTAAGTATCCAAAGAGAGATACCCAGTGGACACTGAATGTCAGTCTAGAGGTCTGGAGGTTCGCAAAATGTATTCCAGGAGACTGAGTCACATTCCAAAGGGAGTCAGAAGTCGGTGTAAGCAAAGCAGAACTGAAAACCGGGAGGGGCGTTCCAACGTGGTGAACAGCGACTTTGGGCACCAGGTACGTTCTATGACCAGGCATGTTCTATGTGCTCTGTGTGGCTTGTAGATTGACACATCTAACCTTCAAAACATTTTACCTAAGAAGGAAAATTTTGTTTTTGTTTTGTTTCTCTGTGTAGCACTGGCTGTCCTGGAACACACTTTACAGACCAGGCTGGCTTCAAACTCAGAGATGGACCTGCCTCTGCCTAGGATCAAAGGCATGTACCACGATGCCCGGCTACACATGCAATTCTCATCTTCATTTTACAGAGGAGGCATCAGAAGCACAGAAAGATGGGATAACGAACTGATCACACAATGCAAGCTTGCTCTGAGAGACACCAAGTCATCAAAAGGGCTAGAGAGATGCTGTGGTGGGTTAGAGGATCCACTGCTCTTACGGGGACCTGATTCAGTTCCATCAACCGCCTCAGGTGGCACACAGCAGCCTGTAACCAGCTTCAGAGGTCTGACACTCTTAGCTTCCACGCTTGCACACACAGTGCTACCAAAAAGAGAAGAAAAGGAAGGAGAGCATGTGGAACTAGAAATAAGCTCCCCTGCTCTCTTATTTTGAACCTAAATATCTTTCAGTCTCCCTAATATGCTTTCTTACACTAAGTTATTAGTTTGAAAAGAGGCGCATCTTTGAAACAATTAGTCTTGACAATTCTTTTATTTTTTTTGAGACAGGGTTTTTTAAGTTCTGGCTGCCTGGAACTCTTCATGTAGACTAGGCTGACCTTGAATTCATAGAGATCCGCTTACTTCTGCTTCTCTAGTGCTCAAGGCTGTGGTGGCGCACGCCTTTAATCCCAGCACTTGGGAGGCAGAGGCAGGCGGATCTCTGTGAGTTCGAGGCCAGCCTGGTCTATAAGAGCTAGTTCCAGGACAGCCTCCAAAGCCACAGAGAAACCTTGTCTCGAAAAACCAAAAGAAAAAAAAAACAAAAAAAAACCCAAAAAACAAAACAAAAAACCCAGCACTTATGCTAAACTCTGTCTTTTTCAGTAGCATTACACTGAAACATTTTTATATCATTAAATATTCTCCTACACTGTAATTTTAAATACCCCCATGGCACTTGGTTATGTGAATATATAATAAATTACTTAACAAATCCACTGTGGTCACGTTCAAACTTTAAAGCATTGGCTCTTAAAAATCATACTAGGAGCCAGATGTGGCAACGCATTCCTGAAATCTCACACTCACCAGCCTAGAGCAAGATGATTTCAAGTTGCAGGACAGCCTTGACTTGAGAGTGACAACTGTCTTCAAAACTAAGAGCAGCTGCAGAGTGTTCAAGTCATGCTGGAATTATGATCATTCTCACACGTTTTTTAATTAGAAAGTTTTCAGAAGAGAAATGAATGGGAGAGTGCAATGTTGCAAATCTTCAGATAAATACCACCCAATTATTTTCAGAAAGAAGTGACTCATGTATGTTTTCACAACATATGACTGTTTTCTCAAACTCTGATTGCTACTAGATTTCATCAGAAAGCTTAAAAATTTATTGTGATAAAGTAGATGAAATACAACATTTATCAGTTTAAAAATATTCTAGTACACAACTCGTAGAGGCATTAAACAGAATCTTAATGTTATGCAGTCATCACCATTACCATTTCTAAACTTTTTCATTGTCCCTTGCAGGAACTCTGTGTCCACAAAACAAAGAAAAAATTAATTTTCTTCTAGTTTTTCCAAGCTCAGCTCACCAGCACTTGTCCTTTGGGCTATTTTCTTTCTGTTTCCATATTTTGTTTAGTTTCAAAATGCTTTTAAAGATTTGCTTGTTCTTATTTCTGTTATGTACGTATGTATTCGAGTGTGTGTGTGTGTGTGTGTGTGTGTGTGTGAGCAGGGGCCTGAAGAAGTCTTATTGGCAATTGTGAACCATCTGTGTAAGAGCAGCCAGGGCTCTTAATTGCTGTTCCATCTCTCCAGCCCCTAGTTTTGGAATTTTTGAGATAGGGTTTCCTATAGTTCAGGCCAACTTGAACTTTCTATGTAGCTGAGGTTGGCCCTGAATCCTTATCCTACATCCACTTCTGGAGTGCTGTGATTGTAGACATGTGACACTATGTGTGCCTTTATGCTGTTCTTGGAAGTATGTGGTGTTCTCATTGGTTCTCGGAAGGGTGAACATACAGAGATGAGTCATTCTTGGCTATGTTTCTGGTCATCTGTGTCAAAGAACGCTGTTCACTGTACATGTGTTTCATATACTACCAGACAAGTTGCAAGTTCAGATTGGGGTTCAGCAAACTCACCCAAGCATATTTTTATTTCTGTTTATGTGTATGGGTGTTTTGCCTACATGTGTCTATTATAAAACACATGTAGGCAAAACATGTATGCTGTGCTCTTGGAGGCCAGGAGAGGGCGTTGGTTGCTCTGGGTCTGGAGTTCTAGATGGTTGTGAGTCTTTGGGTTCTGAGAATCAAACCTTGTTTCTACTGGAAGAGCAGCCAGTGTTGTTAACTGTTGAGCCATCTCTCCAGGCCCCATATCTTTTCAAAATGACTATTATAGTAACATTTCGTGAAACAATAAAATGATGAAGAAGACTAAGGATAAAACAGGTCAGTCAGCTCCAGGCAAAGGAAGAATTAAGATCTGGTTGTGTAGAGTGAGAGATTAAGGTGAGTATTAGCTGGATCCTTGTTTCTTCAGTATATGCTATAGGTAACTAGACTCTCCTTTCACAATCTACTTTACTCTGTTTATGGCAAGATTGCCAACTGTAAATACCTTAAGTTTTTCTCTGAAGGCACTAAATATTTACTAATATACTTCGGTTGCAAGGGAAAACAGATTCTGGCCACTAGGCAGATGGACATTTTATTCAGTTTGCCTGGAAAGCAGGTAGCCTATGAAGAAGCAGGTCTTTCTATTTCAACATGCTTGGCTGGAGCACCCGAACTTTGCCTCTCCCGTCAATGTTTTATTAGGTTCAGAAGTCAAAGTCTTGGAAGGTAAGGCTTGCGTCTTGAAATTAAGTCATGTGCCTGGACCTTGACTTGGCAGGACCCAGAGGAAGGCTTACAGTCTGGAGTGCTTTTAGATCCTCTACGTGGAAGCGGGCTCAGGAGTTTGACTGAGAATGCATGGGCACCGTATCTGGGGACATGGGTACCCAGGCGGAAATCAGGCTGCTGCTGGCAGGGGAATCCTAGTGGAGCACAGCGAATGCCGTTATCCGTCACGCAGAGCAAAGATGGGGATTCAGGCCCCCCCCTGGGCCTTGTGTGTTAGTTGGTGTGTGTTGGTTTAATATTTTTCAAATGTTAAAATGGTAGCAGCCACCTCCCCATCTTCCTCCCCCTCCTCGTCTGCCCCCTTTACACCCCTTCATTTCTCCATCTAAGGGTACACATTGAAGAGAATATTTCTGTGGACAGACTGCAGGTCTGAGGTTAACAATCCTTTGAATGGCCAAAGGACAAGGGTACACTTGCCGGTAACTTTCCACTTTCTGTTTTCCTGAAGTGCCAACGGACTCTCAGAACATGCCTTCAGTTGCTGTAGGTTGACTTTCCAGTGGCTGGATCTTTGCCCAGCTGAAGGTCACACTGAAGAAACCTCTCTAGGTCACACCATGGAGCTCTGGGTGCTGGGGAAGAGTTCTTTGTAGATGCCTTCTTTTTCATTTCTGTCATGCATATGTATATAACCTTAGTTATACACATATTGTTATATACACATGTTAGTATCTGGACAAAACAAATTCCAAGGTCATTTCTTAGGCTAGTTCATCCACTTGCCACAGGAAAGAGGGCAGCATTTGCCTGGGGTCGTCTGTGGGTGATTGGGGAATGCAGGTTTATTTGGACAGGCATTTTTATGACCTGCCTAGCAAGCGCCCTCTCCTACCTGCCAAGTCTTTCTAAAAGCTGGGGATGGGTGGAGAAGCAATAACTACACTAATGATAGGGAACTCCACCTGGGGAAGGTGCCAGTGCGTGCCATGACCTACATCTCCTTTGGCCAGGGTCTAGTAGCTCAGAGTACCAGATCTTTATTCAGAGGATATGAATTTAAATGTGGCTGGAGTAAAAACCTGGCTCCCTTCATGCTCATTTCCGCACATCTCCCCTCTGCTTCATTAGGAGTGCTCATTTTTTTTTAGCCAGGCCGCCAGGCTGGTAGAGCAAGCAAGCATCAGTGAGCTGCTCACCCACGTGCTAGCCTGTTCCTTCTGGCTCATGTGTACCAGATGGTACCTGCAGCCTGGGGACTTTGCAGTGTTACAATGCCTTGCCTACTCCGTGTCCTGAACATCTGCTGGCCTGGTGTCACCAGATAAGCGCAAGAGGAGAAGTTTTCCAGGGTCTCAAGCTCTTTTAAGCTGTGATATCTGGAGCCCTGGAAAAAGTACTCTCCTGCTAGAAGCCCACACTCCGCATTTCCACAGAAAGCAGCGAGCTTGCTGCAAAGCACATGGGAAGGGCCCTTCCCTCCTTGGCCCCACTTGAGCCTACAGTGCACCAGGTGCGTGGCCCTTTCCAAGGTGGAGTCCCCTCAGTGAGTGTTCCTCTCCACATAACATCTGCATCTCTGCTTGCTAACCCTCCTGCTTCAGGTCTCCCGAGACTGACCTGGCACATACTCGCTCGCACCTCAGCAGTCCAAAGGCCCTCTGGCAGCGCCCCGTTCGGTGTCCCAGCACTCTCCGTCTCCTCTTAACATTTGTACCCAGTCATTTGACTCCTGCCCGCTGAAGGCTCTTGGTTCATGAAGGTGGGACCCGTGTTTGTTTGGCTTACTGCTGTTATAGAGAACTCACACCATATCTGTCAACGACTGGGTTCTCAGTAACTTCTGGCAGCAAGAGCAACAGGGCTGCGTGTCACTCACACCTGCAATTGTGTGTGTGTGTGTGTGTGTGTGTGTGTGTGCGCGCGCGTGTGTGTAGCGGAAGCTGGTGAGGGTCAGGCCTAGTTCTCCTACTCTCGTGACTCCAGGGTCAGATCTCTCAGGTGGTAATGGGTTGGGGAGGTCATCATTCCCTCACCCATGCCACCACATGGCAGATGGGGGGTGGGGGCCAACTCTCCTGATCTCATGCCCTCAGGGATGGCTCACCTGTGCTGATAACCACCACCAAGGCGCTTCTAGGTGAGGTGCACACCTATGATGAGGGAAGGGGTCATCTTTCCGGAGTGCAGAGGCATCACTGTAGGGGTGTGGGCGGGGGGAGTGCGGGGGTGGGGAGGCTGAGCTCTCCCCTGAAGGGTAGGGCCAGCTCATCTGCTGCAATAGCCATCGACGGGCAGGACCACCTATCCCAGGGCCAGTGAAGGGCACCGCACGGTCCCAATGATCCCCCTGCTAACACCTGCCATGGACGTCACCACAGGCCCCAGCTGCAGCAAGACCGTGGGCTCCCAGCCTTCGGGGCAGGACAGGCCCCTCAGATCACCATGGCCCAGGCAGCAGCACGAATCCTGGGCATCACCACGATTCCAGGCGGTACCTGAAGATCCCTCCCTGGCCTCATACCATGTAGGCCAGGCTGGCTTTAGACTCTCAATCCTCTTGTCTCAGCTAATGGGATTCTGAGATTCTGGGGCCTCAGACAATATGGCTGGCTAGGTTTAGCAGAGGGTGTGGTTTGGCTCTTCTGCAGGGTTCTAGTTCAATCTCCTGTCTTTCCTCCCCTTCTCTCTCTCCTTTGTGGACTCCCTCGCTGATTTTGGTAGGAAAAGAACCTCTCAAACTGTCCAGAAGTTATTTGTAAAATATTTTGAAGCAGGAAAATGGACATTAAAATAATGCTTACCTGTGGGCTAGACTCTCAAATGGTGCGGTTTTCTAACAGGATTTATTGGGTAGGCCTATTTAGCTGCCTGCAGAGGGTTAAGACTCCTACAGCTTGCTGGCCAAATAGACTCTTAATTACTGCACTCAGTTTAAACGTTGTAAAGAGTCACTTTGAAATTTGCCGGTTCTGTTACCATCATTAAACCTTGCCATGTAAAGATGTGTTGTTAGTTTCTGAAAAATGTATGTCATGTATGCACCTAGCATCGTAATTGCTTAAAAAAATATTGGTTGATAAAGCGTCTCCAGTGAATGATTTGGTGTACACATTTCGGGGAGGGGAAATGTGTTTTTAGAACGTATGGAATAGGAAAGGATTCTCGTGGGCGCAGGGACACGAGTTCACACTTGTTTACGCTGCCTCCCATCAGGTGAAAAACCACAGAGCCCGGCATTGACTTTCGGCGGGCTATTTTTAGGATAAAGATCGCCTCCCTTACCCGTGCAAATCTGCTGAACGGAACAGACACAGGGTCTATGAGGTTTAGCCTCACGCTCCCTTGCCTAAGTCATCCCGGGTGTTCTGGAAGCTGCAAAGACAACGTCGAGGTGGGGATGTTTAAGCACTCCCTGCCTAGGAGAGCGAGCGCCGGCGTGCGAGCCCCTGCAAGCGCGGCGCCCTTCCCTGGGTACACAGATAATGAGTCAATCATTTCCGCCCGCTCGCCCGCCCCGAGATAAGTCGTCTGACCGCGGGGACCGAGGCCTGCTATTACGAAGGCTCCTTTCCGTTCGGTCGGGCGCCCACTTCGGGGATCCTCCCGAGTCACCTGGAACGCGCGAGCCGAGCCGAGCCGAGGAGGCGCAGGCGCCCGAAGGTGGAGGGCGCGGACTCCGCTGGCCACCGCGACTGCCTCGGAAGGAAGGGGAGGGGCGACTGCGCGTGGGGAAGAGAAGGAAGAGGCGTCCGGGGAAGGGCAGGGAGGAGAGCGAAGGCGCCCGGGAGGGAGAGCAGGGGCGTGGCGGCGGGGGCGGGGCGGGCGCGCCCGAGGCGGGGCGAGGCGGGGCGGGGCGGGGCGGCGGGCTCTGCGGCTGCCGGGGGCTGCCGGGATTGGGGAGCCGAGCTGTGCGCTCGCCGGGGTAGCTGGGCTCGGCGGGACATGACCGTGCTGCGCTCGCCGCGCGCTCAGCCCTGCTGCTAGCCCTCTCGCCCGCTGCCTGCCCGTCGCCTCGGAGCCCAGCCGGGCCTGCGCCCGCCCGCCCGCCCGCCCGCCCGCCGGCGCGCTCGCACCGCTGCAGTCATGGGGCTGCAGCCCTTGGAGTTTAGCGACTGCTACCTCGACAGCCCGTGGTTCCGGGAGAGGATCCGCGCGCACGAAGCGGAGCTCGAGAGGACCAACAAGTTCATCAAAGAGCTCATCAAGGACGGGAAGAACCTTATCGCTGCCACCAAAAGTAAGCGGCGCCGGCTGGCGTTCGGGCTGCGGCGTGGCGAGGAAGGCGGGAGGAGAGTCTGCCCTCCCGAGTGGGATGGCTCCGTGCCCCTCAACAGGGCTGGAGGGATAGGCGGCTCCCTAGGGCATAGGCTCCGGGACATTCCTCTTCCAGGCGGTTCGGGCGCACCCCCCCCACCCCGGCTCGCCCCGGCCCCTCGGTGGCGCGGGAGCTGGGAGCCGTGCGTGGGAGCTGCCCCGGGGCTCCCGCCTGGCCCAGCGGAGCTCGCCTCGGCGCCGGCCGATCCTAATCGAGGCTCGGCTCCGGAGTCAGGTTTTACTGCGCCCTAACGCTTGTTCCCAGTCTCCGGCAGAACGGGACATCAGTTCGACAGTTTTGTCTCGCAACCTTTCCAAGGAACTTTCCTGGAGATTCTTTGAGACCCTGCCTGTAATTGAGTTCTCCAAAAGTCTCTTTTAAGTATGTATTTTTTACGTATCCCCTTTCTGTCTTCCGTGACAGTCTCGACCTACGTCCCTCATGTACTAAACCAGAAAGTCTACCTGGCTTTGTGCTGCCTCCTGCACATTCCTCCTGCCCCGTGCTCAGGCGGGTTCAAAGACTGGGCTTCGAACGGGTCAATGGGCAGACTGCCTCCTGGTTCTGGCCAGCGGTGCTTGTGAGTAGGGAATTCTGCTCTGCTCAGCTTCCTTGGTCTGATCCCGTATTTAAACAATCAAACAGACCAACCCTCAAGCTACAACAGAAAGAGGAGTGTATCGGAGCTGTAATGAGTTTAGGAGTAGGGGCCGGTTGAAATTCGTGCAGAAACAGTTGTCATGCTCTACAAAAGGGGTGAAGTTCTCCAGGGCCAGGTGCTGGCATCCAGGTAGTGCTGGGACCCCCTAGCCCCTCCCATGAGCTACTGTGAGCTTCTCCTTTCCCTCTTAGAAAGAGCTGACTACCTAGGAGCCAAGCACAGGGGCAGTGCCTAGCTTCTTGGGTTGCTGTTTGTTAGGATCCCTGGTTTCAATAATTGCCATCCCTGGGGGTTTATAGATACCACCTCTGGAAAAATATCCCAGGCACACTCTCACCCCACTTTTTTGCATCCAGGAAGATTAAAGCACACCGTGCATTCCCTCTGTCTATCCGTCCAAGTGCCTGGCCCAGTTAATATTCACCTAATGAATGAGTTGACATATAATTTTTTAATGGGAAGAATTCAGTGGAGCCATCCCTGTAATTTGGGAGGCAAGCCACTCAACTTCTCTGGACATCTCCAAGGTTCCGTTTGTTCTGTGACCTCTTTGGTGGCGTTGAGTTGGGATTGGGTATCGTGGGCTCTTTGCTGGGATGGTTTGAGTTTTTGTGCTAGTTGGAAACAGGAGGAGGGTCTGTGATGTGGAGGACTGGCTGCAGACAGTGAGTGTGGGGAGTGTACCACCGTCGGGGGCTCCATGGCTGGCTCAGTGTTAATACGCTACACTTGGTGCCCTTGCTCAGTTGTGCATGGCGGGAGGTCAGGGGACAACCTTGTGGAGTCGGATCTCCCTTTCCATGTTTATGTGGGCTGCGGGGATCCAGGTTTTTAGTCATCCCCAGCCTGTTTTGTTGCCTAGAAGCTTCTGGTGAAGCTAGGGGGATGGAGAGGGGCAGATGGCAAAGTCAGTGTGGCCACGGGTAGGAAGCTGTTTCTGTGACTGGGTTAGTGGCTCTGCTGGCAGAAGGCATGCCTCTTGCTCCTGAGGCAGCCAGGGTAAGGGTGTGTGTGTGTGGGGGGCGTGTTAGCCTCCTTCCTCAGAAGGTAGAGTTTCTGGAATTTGTGATTAGGTGTCTTAATCCTTGTGCTATGGTTAACGATAAACACGGAATGGGTAATGTTATCTATTTAGAGAGCAGCTACCCTCGCCCTTAACTTTACAGTTTCTCTCACAATAATAAATGCGTTAGCGTGTGCCCCTTTGGCATGCTGGGAGGACCCTGCCTTTCCCTGCTTGGCCCATGAAAGTTGTCTTCTAATTCTTAGCAGAGGTTGAGAGAGTTGAGCTTGCACAAGGAGACCTGGTTTAGTTAGTTCTCCTGTGGGGTCTGGCTGGGCTGGGCATGCAATTCTTGTCATGTTTCCCCTGCTTCTCCTGTTGGCGGCATTTGGCCAGTGCCCAGCCTTTGGAAACGGGCTGATGAGGTCACTTAGCTAGTGGTCTTTCCATAGCCTTGTATTCTGGAGATAGAAGGGCTTAAGGCAGTGTCTGCAGAGGACAGTGATCAGGCGGGTCGGATTGCCAGACGGCTTCTGCTTCTTGGCGTGCTGTAGTTTGGTTTGCAGAGCCAGGCCTGTTTTGCCCCTCTTTGGCTTGTGTGTTTGCATGATGGCTGACCTTCCTTGTCCCGCAATACACTCCCTACTTGCCATTTCAATGCCTCGAAATGTGTTTGAATTCTTCCATAAATGTTTAAGGAAGCTGGGGGCTTGTGGGGCCTTCAGGCTTGCTGGTGAGTTCTGTCTTAAGGCCGCGCTAACGTAAGTGCCTCCGGATTGATGCTGGGAAGTCCTTGCCCTTTCGAATGGTTTCTGCAGTGAGTTCACTTCAGCCTGGACACTGTTTTATTTATTTATTTATTTTGAGCGTCATGGAGGTGCACTCCTGCGATACTAGCAGTCTGGAGGCTGACACAGCCGGATTGCAAGTTTGAGGCCCTTTTGGTTTACACGGTGAGAGCCTTTCTTAAAAAATTAAACTGTGGGGACTGGAGAGAGCGCTCAGTGGTTAAGACCCTCGACTATTCTTCCAGAGGATCAGAGTTCGGTTCCTAGCACCCTTATCAGTCGCCTCACAACCACCTGTAACTCCAGCTCCGGGGAATCTGGCTCCTCTGGCCTCTGTGGCACCCGGATTTGCATGGACATACTCACACACGTAATACAAATAATAAACACAAATGATGAAAATAAAATAAAAAAAGAAGCCAAAGGAAGTAGACAGGTTAGGTGGCAGGAACATGTTTGTGTAGAGCATGGAAAGATGGCTGGAATTTTAGAACTCACTGGTGTTTCATATAAGGAAGAGAGCCTTGTCAGGTTGGGAGCGGCTGAGAAGGAGCTGGAACACTTGCCGTGCTGGGGGGAAGAATGAGGTGGCCAGTTTGGCTGGAAGGGAGGCTTCATGTCAGAGCAGACCGCCAGGAACAGGAAGGCAGTGCTCCCCGGGAGAAGTCAGAGGCTTTTGATGGAGTCTGGACACGAGGGGAGAGAGGTGGCTTGGAGGCAGTGTTTTAGATGAGAGAGAGGGGAGGGCGAGTTTGGACGTCGGATGGGGGTGGGGTGCTTGGGATGGGTAGAGTTCCAGAGAGCCAGTGACTTACGTGCGAGATTGGGAGATCATCCACTCCCTTCAATGGATGCTTTGTTCAAATGGCTTTTAGGTTCTTGCTTTTGTCACTCCTCCCCTTTCGTAGAATAACCAGTGTCCTCTTTCAGTGTGGTTAAAGGATTGGAAGCTTTCCAGGCCGTCTAGTTTTAGGTGCTTGTGATCCATATAGATACATAACCAATTTCATGCTTAGAACGTTACATTCCACTGTGTTTAATCTAGAATGCCTAAACTGTAGGAAGTGTCAATAAACAGTCCTAACCATGCTAAGCACTCCTTGGTATATGAGGTGCTCTGTGGTAAACTTGGGTTGTCTGGTTTTGTGTGAGTCAAAGGCCTCAGAACGGCCCTTCCCGTCTCCCATCGTGCACAAGTAAAGGACCAAAGTCTCTTGGCTCCTTTGCCAGGTCTAGATCGGGTCTTCCCAAACTGTGCTCTGCTGTTTCTAGGCTGCTGGTTTAGTGCCTCGTGCATTGTTTCAAAAGGCAACTATGAGCCATCCCTTTCTTTCTGTGTCCTGGCTCAAAGATGTTCTTTCGGGGAAATTTCTTAAGTTGCCCTTACACATTATACCAAGATTTGGAAGACTGAAAAGAACTTCAGTTCTCTTTAAACTTGAGTGGGAGTTTTCCTTTTTTCTAACAGTGGCTCAGTGCAGACTAACTGAAACTTCTGAGACACCTGGGAGTGCTTCGCAGACCCGTCTGTTGATGCTGGAGAGACTTTCCCCCTCTGTTGGTCCAGATTTTGTACGTGTGACTCAGGGAGAGGTACTTAGGGATAACTCTGATTGATGTAACTTGCTTCTAGCTCAGTCCTAACTGTGCCGTAAAGACACAGGCAGGAGGGGCGGGGTCACAGAAACCTCAGCAGGCTAAGAATCACACATCACTAAACTAGAGCCCTGTTTAGGTAAGTCCGTTTTCTGGTCTGGCAAACTGTTTTAACATTGAGCATCCCAAGGGCTGGAGTTGTGGCTTAGTTGGTAGAGTGCTTTCCTAGCTTGCATGAGGTTTAATCCTAATACCCATAAACCGTGCTTGTGGTAGGCTGTGGTCCCAGCACTCAAAAGGTATAGGTAGGTGTATCAAAAGTCCTTGGCCATTCTCTGCTACGTTTTAGGCCAATCTGAGATGTGTGGAGAGAATGAAGGTTCCAATTCTGGTGAAGCAGACTGATGGGAAACTCGCTGGAGACACGGGGAGGAGTGGGGGGAGTGAGGGGTTGCTTTTTCCCAAGGGGACCACAGAAAAACGTCTTCAGCCTGGGGTGTGGTGTCTTGGACTGCTCCCTGTCTTTTTGGACCATGAGTGGAATGTGTCTTTGAGTAATGAGCTAATTACATCTTCGTACGTGATGCCGAGAGCCATGAGCGTTTTAGGCCTGAGGCCACATCTGAGTGTTTGTTAAATCACCTTAAGACAGTGTGGGTTGCTGTTCTCTTACTTGCTTTATTGGAATTGGTATTGTAGATTGGTGCTGATGTAGCTGCTTAGTGGAAATTAGAGCAGTATAGAAAATATTTGTGAGCACTCACAATATTTCAGGCCCCCTCCACCCCCAATACAGTAAAGCATACTTGCTTTTGTCCTAACTCGAGTGGACTTCTGCCTTGAATAGCTTTTCTCAACACAGGTGGTCCTTGAC